CGTTCACTCAAATGATGCTTACATTGTTGGACATAATATTTTGACTTGATTTTCTTTCATTTCTTTTTTTTTCTTTAATAATGCTTGTAATTACGTGATATTAGATTAAATTGAATTGAATAAGTAAGAAAAACTGTTAAATTTATTTTATTTTATGATTATTTCAGGTGTTTGTTTCTAAAGATTGCTACTTAGGACGCGTTCTCGAAATGATTTTTTGTACTTATTTATATAAATAATAATGAATATGGTTTACTTTTGAACTATATTATATTGGGTATAGTTAACGTAAACACAGTTCAGTATTTACAAAACTTGATTTGTTAAAGAAAAACTGAATTTAGTCATTTATTTGCTGGCACTGCTAATTTTCCACCTTGGTGATTTTGACCCATACATACGTATATATAATATACTGATCAAAAATAATTCCCTGAAAACATAAGTTCTTTATATCAACCCGCTTTGTCATCGAAGTTTCCGATGGAAATAACATGGGACAAATCTTGTTTTTGCTTTCGTCGTTGAAGACAATTATGGAAAAAAACTTTTTTTGATCTTTAAAATTTTATAAGTCGTTTACGAATATACAATAATGGAAAATACATATTTTTGTATAGAATTAAACACTCCAAAAAAAAGCTTTAATGCAAATTTCAAAATGAAAACGTTTAAATGTTAATTAACCTTTAAAGTTTAATTTATATTAAATACATATTCTGTCAAATAAAAAAATCTGTCTATTTCATTGTAACTTTGAAGATTGTATCCCATTACAGTAACTTCTTTATATAGTCGTCGCGGCGAATGTTTCAAATTGCGTCATCAATGTCGAATGTCAAAAATCGATTTCTCGACATACGGTTAATCTAGCGATTCCTTGGATTACATACGTAAAAGAAAACAATAATAACTGTAATGTCTGAGCTTGGTTCAGAATTTGATAACGCAATTTGAAACATTCGCCGCGACAACTATAGCTCTTGTGCTTTCAAGTCGACTAGGTAACAACAATAATATCAACTGGGTACATATTTTATTTCATTACTTTTCAAGGAATTTATTTAGGAAGTCGTACAAACGCCAGTAGCGAAAATGACTAAAAATAACATTTGACCCACGCGGGAATTTTATTTTTTTATTAAAATCGAACAAAAATTGTTTGTAATAGCACTGACTATATCTCAAAAACTGCTCCACTTTTATAATTTTTATTTTTTTATTAAAATCGAATTATAATTGTTTGTAATAGCACTGACTATATCTCAAAAACTGCTCAACTTTTATCATTTTTGACGGTATTTTCGGATTCAGGGGACAATTTTACATAAGAATTGGCTGTTAAATTTTGGGATACCATGGTATTCCATGGTAAACCATGGACAAGTGCAAAAGCAGCCACTAATAACTATTAAGTTAGTCATTTTTGACTAATCCATTTTTAGAGAGGAAGAGAGGAGATGACTGGAATTTATTTGAGCAATCCAGGAAAAATGGATCTCGGATGGGGCCAACTGTTGCCTAAGTGCATGCGGCCACGACGCGTCGCGACGTGCCTGGGCGGATTTAGGCATGGGCATTATGGGCTGCAGCCCAGGGCCCCGTCCGATCGAAGGCCCCCTGCGCAAAAAATATAAATCGGATTAAAAAATCGACTATTTAATAGCCCGTTACAATTTCAGCTCTTAATATTATTATGAAGAGGCCCCTCATCGCGATTTTCAATTTTTTCATTTAAATAGTAATGTAAAATGTATGTAAAAAAATTAACTTTGGAATTATATATATTTTAGCGGATTAATGGACAATATAAAAATAACATATTTTAAAAATAGTATTTTTATAGATTATTTGAAGTGAATGCTCTACAAAGACGTCTATTATAATTTTATAATAAATCTACCGGTTCAAAAGTTAGTCAAGCTTAAAATTACATTTATAGTAAAATTCAAGTTTTTCTTACTTTTCTGCTAAAACTATCAGACCTATAACAAAACGTTATGGGACTTTGGTAGATAATGACATATTTTTATAAAACATAAAATGATCTACAAATATATATGATCATTGTCAACATTTTGTAACAAGTCTAATGGTTTTACTGGTAATGTAAGAAAAATTTAAAATTTGCTATGAATTTGCCTTAAGTCTTAAATAACTTTTTAACGAATAGATTTATCAAAAAAATAATAATTAAACTTTATTGTGGAGCGTATAATTCTCTAAAATAAAAGTTCTAATCATTTTAGTCAATTAATCCGTTAACTAGTTATATGTATAATTCCAAAATAAAATCTCATGTAGGTGCCTACTTAATTTATACGTAAAATCGCGATTACCAACCAATAATATTAATGAGTGATATTTTAACAGCTCATGAGGCTATTAAATTTTAGAAAAAAAAATAGTCGACTTTTTTTATTCAGTGTAATATACTGCAGTATAAAATAATCTTTGTTTCATACTTTAAAGGCCGCTAGCAGCTAACCAAAGCAATTTTTGTTTAGGTAAGTTGGGTTAAGTGGAATTATTGTATACCAAGAAATATGTGGCCTTGTATTGTACAGGCTTATCGGGACACTTTGTATAAATGCTAGAATGCTTTATTTATATTATTTATTAGCCCAGGGCCCCCAAAGTCAACGGTCCGCCCCTGAAATCGTGCACCATGGTTACCCTCCACCCAGTAAATCCAAATCCATCCATATACACAAAATTTAAGAAAAATCTAAAAGGGTGTGGTAAACTTTTTTTATTATTGTGTTTGAGTTAACGTGAAATGACACTTGTAAAGTAAGTAACTAATATAAATATAAATATATATCAATTTACGAAAAAGGTATATGTACCTATTTCAGGTTAAAATTTTTAATCAACGCTAAACCTTCTCCAGTTTTTAAAACTTAAATGTTGATTACTTAAAGAGTACCTCCTCGCTTAAAAAAATGTTCTGGTTATATTGAGGTATGGCCCCTATCGCGTCCCCTATCGGACACCCTGTATAATATTGTTTGTTAATCTAGATTATTAACCCCCAACTATTTATTTAAATATAAAGAATTTCTTCTTTATTTTTGCAAAGTGTTTTATGATAGAAAATTATAATGGATGTATTTATCATATAAAATTAACAAAATTATAAAATAAAATTTTAATAAAAAATATTTTATAAATAAAGGATATTTCTACTAGTATACTGTTTTTGCTTTCCAAAATGAAATTTACCATTCTATATAAAGTGTGTGTTATGCGTATTTAAATATGTAAACTAGCCGTGACACCCGATTTTGCTCGGGGCATTCTGTAGTTATATTCCATTAAATTTGCTCTAGATTATACACAATTTAACATAGAAATACATGAACATTGCAGTATTAACAATAAGGCAGAATTTCATTTGTCAAAGCTACCTTTTGATTGGTTTACAATATTTGAATATGTTATAACATTGAATTCAAATATTGTAAACTCTAAATTAATCTTATTGTCAAAATATTTTTAAAATCTTGGGAGCAGAGCGTTTTTCTTCTCTTTGCTTAAGAAAAGTAGTTCGTTAAAAAAGTTCTGCCCAATAAAATGCAATTTTCAGCACTTTTGCTGTAGTTTTTATTTCTTTTAATTAAATCTAATGGATGTAATTAAACAACTTTCATAGTTAACTAATTAATTAGGACGGCTTAAAGCACCTAGTTTGAATTGCCGAGCGGCATAATTCAACTGTGACTCATCAATTAGGAGCGGAGCATTTTCAAAAAATAGTCTCACTGACGGGCTCTAACATGGTTTAGTGAAACATGTTATTTTTGATATCTTTGCCAGATAGTTGCAACTTTAACAGGTGCTCATATTTTGTTTGTCGCTAAAATGACTTAGGTGATTGGGAATTGATACTCCCCATTTTCCACAAATATAATTTGCGTGCCGGCCAAGTAATACAATATTAATAGAAATTGTAGGAACTAATTTAAATTCACGTGCACGTAGGTAATAATAATAATAATAAAATGGTGGAAGGCCAGTATTTAATTAACATCTCGACAACTACCCAACTATTGTTATGCATTCATTTACTCATATCATACCTACGCCTTATTAAATTTAATTTATTCTTAAAAATGCGATACCTGCTTTTATTTTTATACTTGATAAATTTAATTATTTCTAACGATTTACAGTAAACAATTAACCAACTTATTTACTATTATAGTACTCGTACAACTTTTTTCACAAAAAGTTTTAATTAGTGTTGGATATGCACAAAAATAAATATTTAAATAGACAGGAATCACGGTAGAAATGTTTTATAAAGGCCTTACTAAAAAGCGAAAAGGTTAATACCCGATGATTTATTTTTATTAGGCGTTCGCGTTTATTTTTTAGATAATTATTACCAAAAAACAGGGAGAACACACCAGCAGTGTTTTTATTTGGGATTATCGTTGGATAATCTTGCCGAAAAGGGCCATAAGCGTACCAGGCTGTTTTATTTTGTATATATATATATATCCTCCTTAAAAGTTATTATCGAGACGTTTTTTGCGTGATTAGTCTTGTTAATAAATTACCACTAGGTAATCAATTAATTTGTTGAATCTTTTTTTATGAAGACTTTCGCGGTTAAAAAACCGGAAGAATAACAGTAAATATTAATTAGCCACGTCGCGGCGTATCGAAGCAAGAAAACACAATAGGAGTATGATAATAAACGTCACGCCCACCCATACCGCGAGATACCACGGCGTCTTCATTGTACAAATAAATAAAAAAAATGTAAGAAGTTGAAGACGTAAAGCGTGATGAAATGATGCGATTTAAAAGAGATGATAAGATGAGTCATGACAAGTGGTGGACCAGTTACGTAATTGGTGAAAGGTGGGGCGCAAGCACATGCATCTCGAGACGTGCAGTCTGACGGAGTGACGTCAAAAGAAAAACAATAACAACGAACACACGAGGACGTGACAGCGGGATTGTTAAGAAGAATGTTTGTTGTTGCTTACCTCTTCCTCTCCGTTGTTTGTGTTGACAGAGTCCATGCTTTGGCTGAGTGCAACTCCAAGAGGTGCTTCCATATCCAGATCAGATGCGACAAGGGGGCTACTAGAGCCGGAGTTGTGACGGGCTCTCTTAAACTGAGGAGGAGTCGCGGCAGGCGTAGGGGACGGGTTGTCTCCCAGAGGATGCCGGCCTCTCTTCGTGGTGATAAAAGTGGTCTCCACGATTCACGCTAAGAAGTCCTTATGATGGTTAACAGTGCCGCTGTCTGAATGTAAAGCACATGCACTTGTTACCGTCACCGAACACAAAGAACACCGACAAAAACGTTCGATCTAGTTGTAGTAAATAGTAGAAGGTATTGAGTAAAGAGTTTGTTTGTATTGGTAGTAGTAGCAGCAGCAGCAGCAGCGTGTCAGAGGCAGTCAGAGTTCGGTCCGGTGCCACTTGCGTTCTATGCTCAACTGTAGCGCGGTGTCGCGGCTTGCCGTGCCAGAGGGTCAAGTGGGGGTGGGGCACTCAGGTGAGTAGGTGGTGTTGCAGTGCTGTAAACGTGGTGGCGGCGCCAAGGGTAGTGTCGCAGACAGTGCTTGCCTCAGACTGCCACCCGCACCGCCCGACAGGTATTCTGCCGCCACCGCGCGCGCAATTTCCAACTCATGCGCCCTTTCCCTACATGCACGACTTTATCACCGCTGCCGCCTCCTTCCCCTTTTCCATTTCTCCTTTATTTCTTTCTTTACTTTACTTCCTTCTCATCTTTACCTGTCTCCCTCTCTCTACCTGCCTACTTACCATCCTATCCTCCCTTAACCCCTAACTTCTCCACCACGTCCACTTTATATTACCTACTACCTTTCTGGACACTATACAAACGCGCCGATACATTTTTTAATAAAACAAACCTATCCCCTCAATATGCCACCATTTTTTCTTCCATGTTGATATTATTAAGTATTAAGTGTTTTTTGTTTAATTTAGCTTTAAAAAAACTGTTATTTGGAATATTTACTAAAAAAGTGTTTTATTTCTTTATTATTGTTATATATAATTATAAATAGAAAAATTAAATAAAAACTTCTATTTTAGATGCTAGAAAATTAAAAATTTTTAGAACCAAGATTATTTCTTGCAATATTAGCAATAGAATCATGCAATATTAGGAATGTAATACACTGCCATTCGTATTCGATTTTTTTTAAATAATTCCTATATAAAAAAATACTTGTACCTACTTACTTTTTCCAATTTTAGATTTTCTGGGTCAAAAATGTACAGCTATTTTTTCAATAATATTTTTTTCTTTATTTTAACATTATTTTCATAAAATAAATAACAAGGTTTTAAATTATACACATTTTTCCTCCGTTTTTTTCTTTTTTACCTTACTACCAAGAAACTTTAATTTATTTAGGCAAAAACAATGAATTTTATTAAAAATATATTGTTGTATCGAGATGTCAATATGATCAAGAATAAAATAATTTGGGATTTGCGTTCACAAATATAAACAATGGGCATGGGCCACAATGTGTGACATTTTTGGAAATTCTTTTAAATCAAAGCATGTTTCACAAGTTAACAGAGATGAAAGGCACAACAAAATTATATTGTCCTATATTATAGTTTTCAAAAATCAACAGAGTCATCCTTCTTATTACGAAGTAAATTTAAGAAGACTTATGTAAGTGTGGCCAACGATAAAAAAGAGTCTTTAACCGAATTATCTTGTAATTGTGTTTTAAAATTGTCCAGAAGGCATGGTTTTTTTTTATTCCATTTGCAACGACCTACCTTTATGAACCTGGATGTTCTTCTATTCTGAAAGTAAAATCCAAATATCGAAATAGACCCAAATTTGCGCATGAAATTGAATACAATGATAATTAAAAAATTAAAATAACCATAGCAAATATGCAGAGTCTGCATTGCAGATACATCCTTTCCAGTGAAATACTAAAATTATTTTGTATTTGCTAATCTTTTTTTAAACCAAATGTAAATATTATTATTATTAGTAAATTCAATTTACCAACTTACCGGTACGCTATTGGCCAATCAGCGCAAAATCTTTTAAAGAACGCCTTTTATCACAGATTGTTAGGGTTGTCCCTGGTCAATTGACCGAGATTTTTACCTATTTTGACAGGAGAGATTTTGACCATGTCAAAATCGGTCAAAAACTTTTAATTCAACTGCGCGCGACGGCGGCGCTACCTAGCGGAAATATCAAAAACTATTAAAAAAGTGTACTGTAGTGGACCATGGTACCATCATAATAATGCTTTTTAAAGTTAGTGTTCTGGGACCGGAACGAGAAATTCTTAAAACTGCTCTCTCCTGTGGTAAAACTAATTACATTTATGGAAAATACCAATTCGAATTTGTCGGACGTAAGCCACAAGGTGTACAAGTTGAAAGATTAATGTTTTGCCAAAATGTCGGAAAGTCCGTTTTTAATTGCCGAAGAATCAACTCTTATGTAAAATTGTCCTCTAAATCCAAAAATACCATCAAAAGGTATTAAAGTGGAACAGTTTTTGAGATATAGTCCAAGATTCAAATTGCTGTTGTCGAGAATTATTAGTGGCTGCTTTTTCGCTATGACAATAAGTCATTTTTGATTAATTCATTTTAAGATTAAAGACAATGGCGAGGGTGGGTTCACTGACGAGGATGATGTGCCATTATCTACACATGCTATAGCATACAACATTACTGCTGACAGTGCTATAGCACTGTCAGCAGTATTGTTATATCATATAGGTATATAGATTATAATTGATCTTAAAAACAGTGATATTATGAATGTTCTTAAAAATGTTTGTATTTTTTTTACCCCAGAATGGTTTCTTTATTTTTTGTTAGCTGTTTTTCAATAAATATACGTTTCTATTTAAAATTAAGTAATGTTACTCATGCCTTCATTTCTTTAGAAATAACTAAGGAATTTGACCGGTGCTTAGTCAATTGAGCGGTAAATTGACTGGTCAATTGACCACAAAAGATACTGACCGGTCAAAATCCCAACCCTACAGATTGTACAATGAATGCTCTTCGCGTGTAGTGGTGATTTGGTAAAATAAATGTAATAATTTTTGTTGTCCTAATAGCAGGGCTGGATGCTCCGGCGGACGAGTTTTGGTTCGTGCCGCGCATGACGTTACTTGATGAGTAGTTGCCGTGCGAATAATAATTATATTATTAAAGAAAATAGAGAAATATCTGGACATAGTGCGTTTTTATTAAACTTAATATTAAAGAAAGGGTTATAATATGGATAATAAATGCTTTCAGTCCTTGATGAGATTTAGGTCTGTGGTTTAAGCGTTGGTGTTTTAAATTAAACTTATAGTCACTGACAAAAAATGTTTATAGGAAACAGAAGCGGTCTTAACGTTAATATTGTCTTTTCTTTTTGTTGCATTTAACCACTGTTTGCACAATTCAAAGTTTTTAGGGAATCGATGAAATTTAATGTGTTTATTTAAAGGGTTTTTCTTGGACTGGTTGTCCGAATTGCATCCAAATATGCCACACCGCATTTTAATAAATGCAAATGGCACGACACAAACTAAAACACAAACAAAACAAGTTAACGCAACACAAAAACAATAATAAACAAACAGAACAGGTTAACACAACGCAATAACAATAATTTGAACACTAAAAAGTAATTCGAACCTTACCGAACGCAAAAACAACAAGTTAAACAAAAAATAGAGCAAGTTAACATCCAACAGCATCGCAAAAACAAGAATTTTAGCAGCATATAATTAAAAAGCACGTTAAAGATTTAAAAACACTCATAAAGTGACGTATTTAAGCCCCGCCCAACATGCGCACCATCCTATCTTAAAGTGTATGTATCTTGTCCTAATAGTGTTACGAATAGGTTTTTTATTGGTACGCAATTTCATATGAATGGTAAGTAAAAAAAGTTTGAGAATCGCTGATCTATATTAAAGGCTAGTTATAATAATTAGCACCCTTACTACCGGTGTAATTTACACCATACGACGAATACAAACATCTACCTATTCATTTTCAAAAATAAATAAAAATGTTCTAACCTTACTTTCCAGTCGCTTTATTTTAAAGATTCTGTGTCAGTTGACCAGGGCCGGGCCTAAGGGGGGTGTAGGGGGGGAGTCACCCCCCCCAAAGTCTTGGCAGTTGGTTCCAAATCCAAACACGGTTGGCAAAATCTATAGTATTTGGGTCGGTTGGTTGGGTATACCTACCCTACCAACCAACCCATCACAATAAATAAAAATGAAATATAATTTTTAAACTTTACCTACATATTACAAAATTATAATTTTTAATCTATTGTAACCTCCTATAATCGTTACCGTCAAGAAAATTGTATTGGTCAACCTTATTTTTATTAAAGGACATATTTCACACAAGCGGCATGTACAAAGTCGGCACCGCCTCGCGGCTTTGTCTTTCTAAATTATTAATTAGTTGAAGCTTATCTAAGCTAAGTAAAACTAGTGTCAATAAATAGGAATTAATTTTTTTTAATATGGAAAAGAAAGCTAGACCGGGCCGAGTTCTAGTAAAATGCTCATTATGTGGATCTGTGTTTAACAAGGACTAGAAAAAAATGCACGAAGAAAATATTCACGGTGGAAATTTGGTTAAAATTAAAATTGTTACTGTTCCGGATAATCCACTTACATTGGTAGCAAATAAAAAAAATAGAGACTTCAAAAGAGCATGCCAATGGTAGGTAAAGACATTCTTTATCTACACTTTACAACACTTTACATTCATGATAAAACTACTGAAAATTTTTAATATTACTACTAAAGTATCGATAAAAAAATAAGTTGTTTTTTTATCGTCTCCACCCCCCCAAAAAAGTGTGCCTCGGTACGCCCCTGCATTTGACAACTAACTTAAGCCCGTGAGTAAAACCACATAAAGTCACAGTTTGTCAATGTGCATGTAACAGATCACAGCGTCATAAAAACATACCTATTACGCTCTCTAAAAATGAATTAGTAAAAAATGACTAATTTAATAGTTTTTAGTGGCTGCTTTTTCACTTGTACCATGGTTAACCATGGAATACCGAGGTATCCCACAACAGCAAATTCTTATGTAAAATTGTCCCCTGAATCCGAAAATGTCGTCAAAAGTTAAAAAAGTAGAACAGTTTTTGAGATATAGTCAATTTTCCATTTAATATTGATTTGACTATATCTCAAAAACTGCTCCACTTTCATAATTATTGTCTTTATTGACTAATTCATTTTTAGAGTGTTATTTTCCACTCCCATCTTTAAAACATACATTATCGTATAAGACGAGTATGTATGTTTTAAAGATGGTAGTGGAAAATTAAATTAAACACAATTTGTATAGTTTAAAGAAAAACGTTTGCATTTATATATATAGTATACTATAACTAGATTAAATGTCAATTTTATGCTTATTTTTTATTCACAAATTTTTACAAATACCTACATTGGAAACAAGCCTTAATATATATATTTGTTAATTTTAACCATTATGTAAATCCAGGTCCACATAACTTTTTGTTAAGTTTACAAACAACTGTAATCTGTTAACTAATTGAATAA